TATTCTATTGGCTCTCTAATGTGTTTGTCATTTGATCTATTGAGCTCTTCATTTCATTTTGATTTCTCTTCACTATCACACTTTCCTGTTCTACTAGTTTCTGCATTTCATTTGGATTTTTCCTTAAAATTTCATTTTCAAGAGAGAGATTTTCAATCCTGTCCAATAAGGATTTCTGTAGTTCAATGATTTGCTTTTGAAAACTTCTAAATGTTCTTATCATAAATTTTTTGAAATCCATATCTCGCATTTCTTCTATTCATCATCTTCATAATCTTGGCTTGGGTTGTTTTGTTTATCTGGAGGCATCATAGTGTCATCACTGATCTTGCTCCCTCGATTTCTGTGTTTATTGCTTGGCATGGTTAATTCTTTTTCCCTCACTGTGAGGTGTTTTTTTTTTAATACAATGTCTGTGTTAAGTGGACTGCCTGCTGTTGCAGGAGCCTTGGAGGCTTGAGATGTGTGTGGCCTGAGAGCTCTGCTTGGTTCTTCAGGGTTATGGGTGTGCAAAGGTGACACCCTCAGGTTATGCGTGGTAAATCTTTCTTTCTTTCTTTATTTATTCATTTATTTTATTTTATTTTATTTTTCATTCAGGAGGTAAGTAATACTGCAAGGCTGAACAGAATTGATGGTATTTAGCTTCCGATCTCTGGCTTCTACCCAAAGAGTCTGTGAAGGCTCGGTTTCTCCTGCGGACTCCCACTGGGTTGCCTAGGCTACTGAACTGTAGCCTTAACTCTCCCCTTTTATTATGTATATCCCAAGTGGGTCTTGCTCTTTGTCTCTTGCTCACCTTTGCAAGGTTGGCAGAGAGAGAAACTTGTCTGTACCAGTACCCCCCACCTTTTTTTTTTCCTTCTATCCTGTAGTCAGTCTGGTGAACTTTCCCACTTCAAAGCCCGCTTCCCTCTAAAATTCTGTCTGCCGTTTCCCCGCCAATGTCTCCGGTTACTGAGCTCACCTCCCCTTCCAGCGCTGATGTTTGGACTCAGAGCCCTGGGCGTCCCTCCTCTCTGCACTGGTGTCTGTGTCACATCCACTCCCCTTCCCGCACTGGCGGGCAGACTCTGCAGCTCCTGCAGTTCCGATTTAGTATATATTAAGTAAAGATTTCAACAGTTTGCACCCACACAGAATATAAAGTGTAAAATACTGCTTGAGTACTAGTTATAGCATTAATTCACATTAGACAACACATTAAGGACAGAGATCCTACATGAGGAGTAAGTGCACAGTGACTCCTGTTGTTGACTTAGCAAATTGACACTCTTGTTTATGGGGTCAGTAATCTCCCTAGGCTCTTGTCATGAGTTGCCAAGGCTATGGAATCCTTTTGTGTTCGCCGACTTCGATCTTATTTAGACAAAATCATAGTCATCATAGTCAAAGTGGAGGTTCACTCCTCCCTTCACAGAAACTAGCTCCTTCTTTGATGACCCATTCTTTGAACGGGATCTTACTCGCAGAGATCTTTTTTTTTTTTTGATGGTCCTTTTTTTTATTTAGTAAATATATATATCCAAGGTACACTTAATGGATTACAATGGCTTCCCCCCCATAACTTCCCTCCCACCCTCAACCCTCCCATCTCTGCTCCCTCTCCCATTCCATTCACATCAAGATTCATTTTCAATTATCTTTATATATGGAAGATCAATTCAGTATATATTAAGTAAAGATTTCATCAGTTTGCACTCACATAAAAACACAAAGTGTAAAATACTGTTTCAATACTAGTTAAAGCATTACTTCACAATGGACAACACACTAAGGACAGATTTCACATGAGGAGTAAGTACACAGTGACTCCTGTTGTTGATTTAACAATTTGACACTCTTGTTTATGGCATCAGTAATCTCCCTAGCATCCAGTCACGAATTGCCAAGGCTATGGAAGGCTTTTGAGTCGCCAGCTTTGATCTTATTCTGGCAGGGTCATAGTTAAAGTGGGAGTTCTCTCCTCCCTTCAGAGAAAGGTACCTCCTTCTTGGAGGCCCCGTTCTTTCAACTGGGATCTCATTTGCAGAGATCTTTCATTTAGGTCTTCTTTTTTTTTCCAGGTTGTCTTGGTTTTCCATGCCTGAAATACTCTAATGGGCTCTTCAGCCAGATCCCAATGTTTTAAGGGCTGATTCAGAGGCCAGAGTGCTGTTTAGGACATCTGCCATTCTATGATTCTGCTGTGTATCCCGCTTCCCATGATGGATCATTCTCTCCCTTTTTTATTCTATTGGTTACTATTTTCAGACACTAGTCTTGTTTGTGTGATCCCTTTGACTCTTAGACAGATCAGTGTGATCAATTGTGAACTGAAATTGATCACTTGGACTAGTGAGATGGCATTGGTACATGCCACCTTGATGGGATTGTATTGGGATCCCCTGGCAAGGTTCTAACTCCACTATTTGGGGCAAGTCCGATGGAGCATGTCTCAAATTGTACATCTCCTCCCTCTCTTATTCCCACTGTTATATTTAACAGGGATCACTTTTCAGTTAAAATTTAAACACCTAAGAATAATTGTGTGTTAATCACAGATCTTTCATTTAGTTGTTTTGTTTTTTGTTTGTTTGGTTGGTTGGTTTTTTTTTTTTTTTTTTTTTTTTTTTTTTTTGCCAGAGTGTCTTGGCTTTCCATGCCTGAAATACTCTCATGGGCTTTTCAGTCAGATCCAAATGCATTAAGGGCTGATTCTGAAGCCAGAGTGCTGTTTAGGACATCTGCCATTCTATGAGTCTGCTGTGCCTCCTGCTTCCCATGTTGGATTGTTCTCTCCCTTTTTTATTCTATCAGTTAATATTAGCAAACACTAGTCTTGTTTGTGTGATCCCTTTGAGTATTTGTCCTATCAATATGATCAATTGTGAACTGAAATTGATCACTTGGAATAGTGAGATGGGATTGGTACATGCCATCTTGATGGGATTGAATTGGAATCCCCTGGCACATTTCTATCTCTACCATTTGGGGCAAGTCAGCTTGAGCATGTCCCGAATTGCACATCTCTTCCCTCTCTTATTCCCACTCTTATATTTAACAGAGATCACTTTTCAGTTAAATTTAACCACCTAAGTATAATTGTGTGTTAATTACAGAGTTCAACCAATAGTATTCAGTAGAGTAAAAAAATACTAAAAGGGATGAAGTATTGAGTTGTACATCAGCAGTCAGGACAAGGGCCAATCAAGTCACTTTTTCTCATGGCGTCCATTTCATTTCAACAGATTTCCTTTTTTATGCTCTGTCATTTGTCACCAATCAGGGAGAACATATGGTATTTGTCCCTTTGGGTCTGGTTTATTTCACTCAGCATGATGTGTTCCAGATTCCTCCATTTTGTAGCAAGTGACAGATTTCATTGTTTTTTCTGCTGTATAGTATTCTATAGAGTACATGTCCCATAATTTCTTTATCCAGTCTACTGTTGATGGGCATTAGGTTGATTCCAGGTCTTAGCTATTGTGAATTGAGCTGCAATAAACTTTAATGTGCAGACAGCTTGTTTGTTTGCCAATTTAATTTCCTTTGAGTAAATTCCAGTGAGTGGTATGGCTGGGCTGTATGGTAGGGTTATATTCAGGTTTCTGAGGAATCTCCAGACTGACTTCCATAGTGGCTTGACCAGTTTGCATTCCCACCAACAGTGGGTTAGTGTCCCTTTTTCCCCACATCCTCTCCAGCATCTGTTGTTGGTAGATTTCTGTATGTGAGCCATTCTAACCGGGGTGAGGTGAAACCTCATTGTGCTTTTGATTTGCATTTCCCTGATTGCTAGTGATCTTGAACATTTTTTCATGTGTCTGTTGGCCATTTGGATTTCCTCTTTTGAAAAATGTCTATTGAGGTCCTTGGCCCATCTCTTAAGTGGGTTGTTGGTTTTGATGTTGTGGAGTTTCTTGTCTTTGTAGATTCTGGTTATTAACCCTTTATCTTTTGCATAGTTTGCAAATATTTTTTCCCATTCTGTCGGTTGCCTCTTCACTTTCCTGGCTGTTTTTTTGCAGTGCACAAACTTTTCTTTTTGATTCAACCCCAAATTTTAATTTTGGCTTTGAATGCCTGTGCTTCTGGGGTCTTTTCCAAGTAGTCTTTGTTGGTACCTATATTTTTCAGGGTTTCTCCAATGTTCTCTAATAATTTGATGGCGTCAGATCATAGATTTAGATCTTTAATCCATGTTGAGTGGATTTTTGTGTAATTTGAAAGGTAGGGGTCTTGCTTTATGCTTCCGTACGTGGAAATCCAGTTTTCCCAGCACCATTTATTGAATAGACTGTCCTTACTCCAGGGATTAGCCAAAACCCACATTTCTTCTTTTTCCAAAGCCCCAAACCCATACTACTATAGAAAAGCCCTCCCTGCTAAACCCCATTGTGTCTTACGTGACAGCAGACAGAAGACAATAAAGTGAGGTGTTTAATATGGCAGAGAGCAGGCCCTGCTGCAAGATGCAACTCACAGTTTCTTTCCTTTAGCTAGACACGTGGGATCATGGCACCTTTCTCTAAAAATCAGGCATTTCTAGGAGCCACTGGAGTGTCGTGCATGTGCTTGACTACCCTGTGCCATATCTCTGACATATCCCCTAAGGAGGATGCCAGTGCCCAATGCAGCCAGATGGCTGGAGGATTGGTCTCTTGCACATTTCCACAAATTCTAAAATGGCACCAGGGCTTATGGCAACATTATATAGAGCATGATACTGATTGCTCCTTTACTCCAATGCACTATAGAAATCCCAGTACAAGACCTCCCTGTATATGAACAGGCCTTACAGATTTTACTCATGGCAATACTTGCAGGTTATCATTCCTGCAGACCTTGACCTACAAAGAAGGGTATAGAGGGTTAAAAATTGTTAAAAACTCCTTTCTAACCCTTGGTGGATATTGCAATCCAGTTTCTGTCAATGAGAGGAAGGGGAATGCTCACTTTGCTTTCATGGACCTCCTGCTCAGCATTCCTTGAAATTCTGGCAGCCGGTGAGTACTACCCTTGCTCTGTTTCTCTGCAGCTTGCAGTCTACAAAATTCTCAAATACCTTTCCCCTTCTTCAAAGACCCTGGAGAGACATTTTCCATGGGAATTCAATTCACAGAGACAGGATGTGACGGGAACTTCCTCGTTTTGTTCTATCCATCTCGGTTTATATAGCAAAGGGCAGAGCAAATAGTATGAGTCTTAGAAGAAAGTAAATGAATAGTTCCATAACAAACAAGGTGAAAACCCTGGATTCAGCTGCCAGTCATGTCTAGAATATCATAGCATCTGGAACCAAAACACTTTGCAAGAATCATCACCCTTTTCAGAGATCTGTAGGACTCACCCATCCATCTGGACCTGTTGCTGCTACCTGCCCAGGTATGTGAATCATTCTTAATTCCTGTCTAAACCTTTACCTTTCAGAAACAGGAAGCAGAAATTAATTATAACAATGAGAGCCGTTGAGGAAAGCATGCTATGGGTGGCAATATTTTATCAGCTTCATGAGCTTGGCTGTGGAATTTGGTGTTTGAAGTACAGCCCAAAAGATTTAACTCTTCTGATAAGTCCCACCTGAGGAAGTAGATTTCTAATTTATTTCATTTCCCACTCAAATTAAAAGTATTTCAAGCCTCAGTAAGCCTTTCTTCGTGGGGTTGTCTATCTCCATTAGAGATTAGGGGTTGAAATTTTCTCTTGGGCAAATTGAAATCAAACCAGTCCTGGCTGGTTTAGAAGTCAGCGATAACTGACTTCTAAGGTCAGCATTGCAGTCTGAGTTGGAAAGAGAGAGGGTGAAGGCAGTCAAAAGCCCTATTTGCCTCTTGGGGCTCATAGATTAGGATCTGAGGAATTAGAAAAGAGTAAAATAAACATCCTGAGCTTACAAAGGTAGCAGAAGCAAAATATAATTAAGTCAGATGCAAGGGCTGAGGGGCAGAAATCGAAAGAAATCAAGCTTTGTTCAAGAATTGGAGATGTAGAAGGAGAGAACAAGGGCTGGGGGCAGGGGAGAATCAGAAGGGAAGGGGAGGAGTAAAATAAGGAGGGAGAGGTAGGAATGTGTTTCCTGCAAGTGGAGAGCATGGCATTTCCCCGGCATCATGACCCCTCATTCCTCCCTGGGACCCCAGGGAAAGCAGAGAATGCACTCCTCTGACAAACCTGAACTTTGGCCTGAAAGTCCTTTTCTGGGTTCTCCATCTTCCCCAAATACCTAACATGTCCAGCCTTTTCATTCCTTCCCCTAGGAATACCCCCTCCCTGGAAACAGAATCTGAAATCCATTTCAACTGTGATATGAAGAGCTGAAATAGGAAAGTGTTTCCTGTAATGGGTACTTGCAATTCCATAAGAAATGGAGCTGAATAAACAGAACATTGAGGTTGGAAAGGGTGTGCTTCTGGCAACAAATGGGAGCAGGGTGCTGTTCAGGGCATGAAAAGGTGTTCACCCCTCTGAAGTCACAGACTTTACCCTTCAGGATATTGCCAGACTACCTCTCTGTGATGAAAGGTTTTCAAGGCTGTGTCCTTGAGCACTTGAGCATATGCACCATCCATATGAAAAGCTGCTAACTCTGGGTTAAGTTGTTTTACTTGGCAGTGGGACTTTGTCATTTGTATTTATTTGTTGGTTTTGTAGTTGATGCATTGTGATCCAGCCTTCTGTTTTGTGCATATGTGAGATGGTGTGTCAATGTAAGGGTGAGTGCTACAGTCTGTGGCCAGGAATTTCCTGATAGTGTTCATGAGTTGGGATAACAGGAGTGACTAATGGGTGAACCCAGACCAAACACATGTTCTGGTTGGGGATGAGTCTTTATCCATAGAGGCACAGAACCAGACAGCATAGCTGGAACTTCACTGTACCACCTAACAGCTGTATGTGCAAAGACAAGTTCTTAGCCTTCTGTTCTTCAGTTTCCTTATCAGTAATTTGGACCAATTAGTAATGATACAGTGGTAAAGTAAGTGCTTGGCAGATAGTAAGTTTCAAGTTCTTGTCAGTTTTTATTACTTTAGGCAAATATTCTGTGTGTGTGTGTGTGTTTACAACACACTCCCTGGCAGCTTCAGGCACAAGCATCACTATAGAAAACTATTATCCCTCTAGCAATTCCATGGTTCTGTACACAAAGCTCTAATATTCTGCCCCCTGAAAAATGACAATTTCCTCCAGTCTAGGGAGGAGTAAGGGCTCCTGTTGTGGGACCAAACTGCCCCTGTATAGCCTTTCTAATGGTCATCACTGTCTCATGAGAGAATCCAGGTTATCAGCTACCATATGTTGACCAACACCTCGGAATCTAGCCTAACCAAACACAGTCTGATTCCTTTGTGTATTGGAAGGTGCTACCTGGATTCTGATTCACTCCTCGTGACTCTGCCATTATGGGGCTCTAACCTCTACTGGAGGTTCAGGAAAAAAAGACAAGGGCACAAAAGAGAAGAGAAGGGAGGAGAGTAAGAAAACCAAAAGCAATGTGGGCTTTCTGCTGAAGAGCCTTTAGCTGCTGAATTTCTGGCCTGCCACAGATAGATTCCAACTTTTGTCACAGAGAGTGAGAGGCCAGGTAGTCCACTCATAGCAACGACCACTTCTCAAGGTCCCCGCCCATACTAATTATTGCATGGACAATAGTTAAAGCAACTGCTAGTCATCAAAATGGCTAGGCACCATCCAGAGGGAACTCTGACCTCCTCCCTCTGAGGCCCTTTCTGAAGTATGAATAGAGTTTCCCCAACTTTCTCTGCTGCCTCCTGAGTTTGGGCTCCAAGAGTGGCAACCACTATCTATCCACTCACTTCTTAGACCATTCCCTTTTCCTTTCATTGTATTCCCATCAGCTCAAGCCCTTCCTGGCTCTGGATCACTTAAGATCCTCTCCATTAATTCCTTTCACCCCATGACTCGTCTTCTGTGGTGTGAGCCAGCACAGCTTTTAATGTCTATCATCTACATCATGCTGCTGGTAGTGCTGACCCTAAGGTGGGATTCAGTAGCTGCAGGTCACCAGGAGCAATTGCCATGCCAAGGGCCACAGAAAGAAGACCAAAAATGGGGATGCAGAGGGCAAAGGCAGGAGACGAGGACATGGAAAGGGCTAGAGAGTAAAGGCCCATGGTGGACTTTCCCCCCAACCTGGGGTTTTCTAAGGAGGGAAAGAAGGAAGAAGTAGTTTCTGGAAAAATATGGAGTGATATTTGGAAGATGGAGGGACAAGGAAGTTCTGACTTCTATTTAACGAACACCCAATGAGCTCATGATGGAGTGGCATTGATTTTTTTTCTACCGTCCAGAAGAGATCAAAGCTCTGTCAGTTACAAAATCTGACTAAAACCTCACAACTAGATGGAGAATCTTGTCTTAATTCAAATATGTGTTGCCCACACCACACTTAATGGCCTAATATTGGACTGTGAGATAAGGATGGGCATTGTCTAGGCTGTGATTAGTGCCTTTGAAGGATAGATAGAAAGCATGACTCCATCACTGAGGCCTCGAAGATACTATAGATGCAGGGATAGTGATCAGCCAACAACTGTGGGTGATATGTGAGGTCTTAGCAACCCCAGAAGTCTTAAAACTGAAGGGAAGAGACCCAGAATGTCATTGGAGTTAGCAGGAACTCTCAACTTCTGAAAAAAACAGGGCTGTGTTTTTTTCCTCTGTTTTGTGGACCTGATGTTCCAGGGACAAAGGAAATAAGAGCAATGTTGGGCAGGTGGCTGAGCTACCAGGAGAATAAAAATACATCTGAAATTCCAGAGGAGGGTGGTGCTGAGCCCCCATACAATGTATGGCTCTATTCCTGTCTCAAAACAATATGCAGCTCAGAGGCTGTTTCCCCTGGGATCCCTAAGTCCTGGCCCCCTACAGCTTTGTGACTTAGAGCAATGCCAATGATGCTATCAACAGCACCATAAAATTAGAAGCAGCTGTCATATCCTGCCATAATTTGAAAGAATGCAGGTGTGATGCTGCTTAGGAATTTGAGAACCAGACCAAAAAATGACCGAGACAATAACAGACCTAAGGTCCACTGGGACATATTCCAGCTCCCCTGTGTCACTCCAGCCTCACTTTGTCATTCTCCAGGTAGCCTCCTCTGATGACAAGAGATGGCAGATTTCTCAGTCTCCATGGATTTCTCACTGACAGCACCTCTGTCGAGCAGTCTCTTCCTCAGCCACCTTCTCCTCCTATTCCAGCCTGGGAAGCTGAACTCAGGTATGATGTCTGCTCTTCTGCCATCTGTAGCCCAGCCAGCCTGAGCCTGGATGTGAATACCTCAACTCTTCCCACCCCTACTAAGAAGTCCTCCCCAGGCCTGTGATCTTGTAACATGGCAATAAGTCTTGCTAGCTGTCAAAATAAAAAGAGATTTCCAACACAGTTGTTAAAGAGTAACTTCCTCTGGCCACCATCTAGTCCCTTAATGGTCCTCCACTGTTTCTCCAGTGATCAATGCCTCTGAGCCACTTGTTAAAGTTCACAAGAATATCAGGAAGCATAGTAGGAGAGCATTCCAGGAGACTCTTTTTTTTTGACTTGTATTTAATGAATATAGATTTCCAAAGTACAGCTTATGGATTACATTGGCTCCCCCCCGCAATGACTTCCCTCCCATCCACAACCCTCCCCTTTCCCACTCCCTCTCCCCTTCCATTCTTATCAAGATTCATTTTCAATTTTCTTTATATACAGAAGATCACTTTAGTATACATTAAGTAAAGATTTCAACAGTTTGCACCCACATAGAAATACAAAGTGAAAAATACTGTTTGACAGGTCTTCAAAGAGGGAGGTGCCTTTCTCTGAAGGGAGGAGAGAACCTCCACTTTGACTATGACCGTGTCTAAACAAGATAAGAGTCGGAGAACTCAAGGGGCTTCCATAGCCTTGGAAACTCATAACTGGTGCATAGGGAGATTACTGATGCCATAAACAGGAGTGTCAATTTGTAAAGTCAACAACAGGAGTCACTGTGCACTTACTCCTCATGTAGGATCTCTGTCCTTAACGTGCTGTACACTGAGGCTTAATGCTATAACGAGTACTCAAACAGTATATTTCACTTTGTGTTTCTATGGGGGTGCAAACGACTGAAATCTTTACTTAATGTACACTAAACTGATCTTCTGTAAAAAAAAAAAAAAAAAAAAAAAAGAAAGAAATTTCCAATTCCCAACTTGACTCTCACTGGGATTAAACATGACAATAGGTCTGATCTGATTTCATCATCATTTTAAAAAAATCATCTATTATTTTTCACTTTATGTTTCTGTGTGGGAGCAAACTGTTGAAATACTTACTTAAGGTATACTAAGCTGATCTTCTGTATATTAAGATAATCGAAAATGAATCTTGATGTGAATGGAAGGGGAGAGGGAGTGGGAAAGGGGAGGGTTGTTGGTGGGAGGGACGGTATGGGGGGGGAAGCCATTGTAACCCATGAGTCGTACTTTGGAAATTTATATTCATTAAATAAAAGAAAAAAAAAAGAAAAATACTGTTTGAGTACTCGTTATAGCATTAAATTTCAATGTACAGCACATTAAGGACAGAGATCCTACATGAGGAGTAAGTGCACAATGACTCCTGTTGTTGACTACAAATTGATACTCCTGTTTATGGCATCAGTAATCTTCCAGGAGACTCTTAATGGTCTGTGATTGTGCTGAACTAGAGAGAAACATTTTTATCTCCGCCCTCTATGTAGTTTTTGAGGGACTTGAAAGACCTCACTCCATCCCACTATCTTTCGTGAAAAAGGCAGATAAAAGAGAGTATAAATTAATCATACAAACACAATTTCTAGACTAGGAACAAAAGAAATATGGGTGACAAGGATAACCTAAGCAGTTTGTGGTAAAGGGAGGGGGACAGACGTCACATAAATAGCTGCAAAAGAACCATGTCCAAAGATTTGTAGCTTAGCAGGTTAAGCCATAGCTTACAATACCAACATACCATATTGGAGCACCAGTTTGAGTCCCAGCTGCTCTACTTCTGATCCAGCTTCCTTCTAATGCTCATTGGAAAGCAGCAGATGATGATCCAAACGCTTTGACCTTTGGCACCTGTGAGGGAGACCAAGATGGGATGAGATTCTGGGGTGCTGTCTTCTGTGTCAGCTATTCATTGCAGCCATTTGGGGAGTGAACTATTAGGATGGAAGATCTTCTTTGTCTCTCCTTCTCTCTCTGTTACTCTGTCTTTCAAATGAATAAATAAATCTTTCCTTTTATATAAAGGAAGCAAACTTTATGCATTCATATACACAATTTTAAGAACATAATGATTTTCCCACCCTGCCCTCCCTCCAACTTCCCTCCTACCTTTTACTTCTTTTCTTATTTTTCTTTTAATTTCTACAATGATATACTTTCAAGTTAGCTTATAAGTTCAAGCTTAATTCTCCACTAAATAAAGAATTCAACAAGTAGTATATGGGAAAAACCATTGTTCCTCAAGAGTATAGACAAGGGCTATGCCCAATAACCAAATCAAAAAATGTCAATTTCCCTAATATACATTACATTTTTGTACTCTGTGTACTATCATAAATTGGAGAAAACATGATATTTGTCTTGAGGGGACTGACTTAGTGAAATAAATCTTTTTAAAAAAGACAAATAAGTACAGCAAAAAGCAACTCATTTTCCCTGGAAAACCAATGAAAGTCATGGAGAGGTACCAGTATTTGAGCAGGATACATAGTCTCCAGGAAAATGCAGGTGAAAGGTGTAATGAAGCACGGTGTTCCCAGGCAGCCAGCTAGAAATCAGGTGTGTGGGGAGACAGCTGGAGAAGGCAGGCAGTAGAAAAGTGAATGCCAACGGGCAACCAAGAGGCCCAGGTGGGACTAAGAAAGCCAACTCCATGTCCTATGGGAAAAGTTAAGGATGGGAAGAGATTCACAAAGATTGAACTTTGATAAAGGGGTTTTAGCTGAGCTTGATAGGCAGGAAGCAGACTACTTTTGAGGTAAAAGAATGGCCACATACAGACAACAATGAAGAAGAGAATGATCAAGGGAAAGACCTTGATAAATAATTCTAAACAACAGGATTTGGTTGGTTTCTAGCCATAAAAACCTTCAGAGCAGAGAGCCTCCATGGAATATATATTTTTTGTTTTTATGTAATTCTTATATATGCATTACTGTAAAAACTGGAAAATCAGATAGGCAAAAATAAGAAAATATCTATGTCCATTGAGCAGAAATTACCATCTGCAATTTGGTGCCTCTCATTTCAGATATTTTTTCTGCACATGTAAAGTATTTTTTCACTCAAAATTATTTTGGACATGCTGTTTTGAAACTTCCTTTTTTGGTGAAGTATTGCTCTTATCACATTTACAAAATTGTCATCAAAATAAACTTTGTACCTAATTGGTTCAAACCAGTAACTAGTACTGTACTACCTACTATAGCTGGTTATATTTTTAAGTTTAGAATTTTTTTTCATGACAGTTGCTTGCTCAAAATAATCAGGCTGATTCTCCAAGGAAGTCATTGGGATGACTTATTGTAGAATTCTGGCCTACAAATTGAGGTAACTAAAAGTTAAATTTAAGAAGGAATGATTTGGGTCATTGCTCTTGCTTTTCATTCTAGAGGAGGTTAAGGTGTTAGGCCCTGACCGTTCCATGCTGGCCCTTGTTGGAGAAGAGGTGGAGTTCTCATGCCACCTGTCACCATACCTGGATGCAGAGCACATGGAGATCCGCTGGTTCCGGAGCCAGACCTCAGAGGTGGTGCACCTATATCAGCATGGACAGGAACTATACCACCAGCAGATGACACAATTCCATAACAGGACCAAACTCCTGAAGGATGACATTGCTGTTGGCAGCATGGTCCTGGAACTCCACAGCATCGTCCCATCTGATGAGGGTCCATATGGGTGTCGCTTCCTCTCCAGTGACTTCTCTGGTGAAGCTGTGTGGGAACTGGAGGTAGCAGGTATGTGATCCAGTCAAGTCACAGAGAAGAGAAGGAAAAAGGGGTCAGTTTAGATAGAATTGCTTTACTCAGGAATATAAAATGACAGAGGATCACAGAAAAAGAAGAATAACCCTAATTTTAAAATACACACACACACACACACACACACATGCATTATTTAAAACAAAGGGCCAGATTCTTGAGCAAATTAATAAGAGATAAGCGGTGTACCAAAAAATATATTAGTGACCCTTAAGCATAGAAAAAGATCATTTTTACTTATAATAAAAAGGATTAACACAACTTCAAGTGCAAATGTTACCTATCAGATTGGCAAAAATTCAAAAGTTCCACCACATACTTTTGGTACAGCTTTGGGAAATGGGTCTCCTCCTGTCTAGTTAATGGAGTTCAAAGATGTAAAGCACCAGGGAAGAAGGATTTGGCAACAGTTAAGATGAACACTTGCACATCTATCAGTGACACAGGAATCGTATCTTTGGGAATTTGCCACAAAGATATATACCCAACACTTACAATATGTAAAAGGCATATGTGTAAGTTTAATCTTTGTAGAATTATTTGTAATTACAAAATAATGGAAGCTATCTAACTGTTCACACATGAGAGATGAGTATTTTCCACCCACACAATGCATTGACCCATACTTTAAAGCTGGAAAAAAATGAGGAGAAACTCTATGAATGAATGTGGAACAATTTCTATGATGTGTTGTTAACAGAAAAAAATCAAGGGTCAGGCATTTGGCCTATCAGTTAAGACCTCCATTGGTATTCCTGCATTCTGTCAGAGTATCTGAGTTGGAGTGGTGACTCCAAACCTGACTCCAGCTTCCTGACAATGCAAACCCTAGAAGGTAGTGGTGATGATTCAAGCTGGGATCCCTGCCACATACTTGGGAAGTTCTAGTTGAGTTCCCAACTCCTGACTTTGGTCTGGCCCAGCTGCAGATGTTGCAGGAATTTGGGGAGTGAGCCAGTGGGTGGGATCTCTTTTTCCTCTTCACTCTCTAAAATAACTAAAAAATGCTTTTAAAAAACACAAAAAATGCAAAATAGTTCAAAAATATATTTTTTGTGTGTAAGTGATAAGAACCATTTCAATGTAAAACATAGGAAGAATAAAACAGAAATTAATGAAATGAATTACCTAAGGATGAGAAGGTAATGGGATGCAAAGGATACAAAAAGGCCTGGAGATTTTCTGATATACATTTAATAATAACAACATTTATCTTTAAACCATGTTAATGTTTTGCATATTCAAAATATAAACCTAATCCAGCAGTACAAGGCAACAATGGAGTGCATATAAAAGGCATTTTGGCTCTAATGAAAATCAAGAAAGGAAAATCTCTTGGAATTTATGGTGAGACAATTTTTCATTCCAGGGAAACTGTCCCCTTTATGTCTAAATGACTACAGCTTTTCACAAAATATTCCCCTTCATATTTCCAAACGTCCCTTAAGGTAGCACCGTAGCCACATGGCACTGGTAATCTAGACTGCCATTCATAAATGGGAGCTGTGAGCCCATACCTGTGTGAAGAGCAGCTCCTAGTTCATGATCCCTCATAGTGACTGTGCATGGAAAGGGTGAAATAGACTTTCTGCACAACTTGTAAAAAGGGTCTGATCTTTCCCACTCCTCCTGTCTCTCACAGGGCTGGGCTCTGACCCTCACATCTCCCTGGAAGTATTCAAGGAAGGAGGCATTCAGCTGAGGTGCAGCTCCCATGGCTGGTACCCAAAGCCCAAGGTTCAGTGGAAAGACCATCAGGGAAACTGCCTGTCTCCAAAGTCCGAAGCCATCAACCAGGATGCCCAGGGCCTGTTCAGTCTGGAAACATCTGTGGTTGTCAAAGGGGGTGCTCATAGAAATGTGTCCTGTTTCATTCAGAACCCTTTACTGGTGCAGAAAAAAGAATTTGTAGTCCAGATAGCAGGTGAGTAGGTGACAGCTCATATTCATTTTTCTCATCATCATGTTCTTCATGTCCACCGGCCCTAAAGTGGTCTATAATGAAACAATAGTACTGGGGCCTGGATATATACAGGGCTGGTTTACTCTGATACCTGGAAAGTCAGCAAATTCAAAATCAGGAACCTACTAAGAGTACAACTAACTACTCAAACAGTAAGTGTGGAAAGTTCCAGAGAGCTACATCAGTTGTTCCAATCGTCATAAGATACCCATTAGATGTCATCATGAGAGCCCATATGTCCTTAATTTCATCTCTCAAATGATACCTACTGACCACCCATAATATACCCTAATCCCTGCTCTCAGGTCCTCAGGAGGGGAGACAGACAATAAACAATCCAAGTAAATCATATCATGTGTTAGAAGGTGGTAGCTACAGGGAAAATGAAGCAGGCAAAAGTGCCCAGGAGTAGCTTGGTATGTCTGTGGGTTATAAGAGCAAGGAAGTGGATGTTTAGTCAATGAGCCAAAGGTGAGGTTACTGTTTAATATCAGTTTTATTAACCCTTAAAAGGGTTTAATGTTCATAGTTATAACTGGTTTAAATATTAAAGACACACCCAAATTTTCCATGTTGTTCCAAATCATTAGTGATATTTTCATAGCAGAAAGAAATCTCATCCCGTGATATAGACAGACACATATATGTTCTCATGAAAAATGACAAATTGTTCTGAAATAAAAGGGGTTGGAAGTACAATTTGTGACAAATAATCCATTCTAAACTTCCTTGTCATCGAGATGGCCATCTGTGTTAGGAAAAATAAAACATCTGCTATTTCCATAGTAAATATGGAGAGAGGTAAACATGGAGCCAAATAGGTAAGTCAACCTGCCAGAAGACATAGACGTAGGAGTGCTTTTTCCCTGATGTTTACATTTCAAAGAGAAGATCCTTGAAGAAAAGCATTCCTAGTTTGAAAGATTTACAAGAGACTTATATAGCTTTCAGAAAGATTTACACTCATCTCAAAAGAATAAAGTGGGGCCAGCGCCGTGGTGTAACAGATTTTTCTCTCTGCCTTCACATGCAGCACTGACACCCTACATGGTCATCAGTTCAAGTCTCTAGCTCCTGGCTTCAAATTAGCTCAGCTCCAGCCATTGTAGCCATTTGGAGAATGAACCAGTAGATGGAAGACCTCTCTCTCTGTCTCTCCCTCTCTCTGTCTATAACCCTGACTCAAAAAAAATCTTACCAAAAAATAATTAAGAATTTATAATTTTCTAAAAGAACTCTTATTTTTAAATAGATCTGGAGTTTTTCTTTTAAAAATGTGTTTATTTGTGTGAAAGTTAGAGTTACAGAGAGAAAGTAAAAGACAGAAAAAGATCTTCCATCTGCTGTTTAACTCCCCAAATGTCTACAATAATCAGGGCTGGGACAGGCCAAAGCCAGAGGCTCTTCTGGGTCTCCCACATGGGTGCAAGAGCCCAACCACTTGGGCCATCTTCTGATGCTTTTCCAAGGCTATCAATTGGGAGTTGGATTGAAAGTGAAGCCAGGACACAAATTGGTGATATACAATGCTGCACTGAAGGTGACATTTTAAGCTGCTACACCACAATGCTAGACTCAAGAAATAATCTTTTTTTTTTTTTGAAAGGCAGAGTTACACAGACAGAGTGTGGTGGGGATGGGAGAAAAGACAGAAAGGGAGATCTTCTATATGCTGGTTCACTTCCCAATAGGTGCAATGTCCAGGGCAGGGCCAGGAATTAGCCCACAGTGGATACAACCCTCACCTATGTTGTCACATGACCTGCACAAAGGATCTGTGCAGTCCTCAGTGTGAGCACAGAACCTTTTGCAATGAACCACCCCAGACAGTCAGGGAGTTCTGAGCCTCTGACACCAGACACAGGGATTTCCCAGAGATCCACTCTACACTCCACTACACTCAACTATCATGCAGTCACAGAATTCCCACAGTCATAGAGCACAAGGCACCCAGATCTTTCATCTCATCAAGCCTGTCCTGTTCATGGAGAAAGCAGAGAATTTCCCAGAGCCAGCTGCCTGTGGTTGCTCTGACTTGGCAGTTTGAGCCCCAGAACCTATAATAGGTTAAGAGGATGAGAGCACCCCACAATCCTAAGAATATGCCCAGCCCCCTCCCAGCTAGACTCAAAGCCCATGGGAAATACAGATTTTTCTCTCTGGCAGAACAACCTGGTTGCATACACAAGAGCCACCACAACTTCTACTGGTGTCAAATGGTGCATTCTCTACACTGTTGGTTGTCGGATGCCCTTGTGGAGGATGGGGAGAAAGAAATGTGCTTTTCTTAAGTGGGATTAGGTGTATTTCCTTTGCTGGATTACTCTTCTAGGGCTCCAGGCCAGACTTTAAGTCAGTGTGATCCCCAAGCTTCTTCCTCACATGATATCACCAGTGGCATGGGCTGCCACAAATCTCTCACCTTTTTCTTTCACATATCTGCTCTGTTAGTGCATTTTATACTGTAGTGTTCTTTCATGATTAGTCCTAATGTATGACTACCCACAGGACTCAATGTAAAACTGGTCTGGTGGTGATGAATTCTCTCCATTTTTGATTGTCCAGGAAAGACTATTTCTTCTTCAATTCTAAAGGAGACATTTTGTGGATGTAGTATTTTTGGTTGGAAGTTTTTTTTCCAAGACCTTGAATATATTGCTTTGTTCTCCTCTTGCCTGTAGGATTCGTACTAAGGAGTCCATCATTAATCTAATGGACTTTCCCTCATACTTAATTTGACATTTTTCTCTTACCTTCTTTGGGATTTTTTCCTTGTCCTTAATTTTTGACAATTTGACTATTTGATACCTTGTGGAAGGGTTTGTTTGGATGAATCTGATTGCTGTCCTCAGAGCTTCCCATAGCTGGATAGCATATCTCTTTCAAGACTTGGTAAGTTTTCACTTTATTATTTCATTTGATATATTCTTAATGTACTTGTCAACCTCTTCTTCAGGTGTCCCCACACTGCAAATATTTGTCGATTTACTCATATCCCATATATTTCATGGTCTTTCTTCATTATTTTTTATTCCTTTCTCTTTATTTTTAAATGAGTAATTTTAGAAGTATTGTCCTCAATATGAGACAATTTCCTTCTATTTGATTTATTACGTTTTTAATATTTTACTTTTTCTTTTTTTTCTTTCAAACTTTTATTTAATGAATATAAATTTCCAAAGTACAGTTTATGGATTACAATGGCTTCCACCCCCCATAACTTCCCTCCCACCCGCAACCCTCCCCTTTCCCACTCCCTCTCCCCTTCCATTCACATCAAGATTCATTTTCAATTCTCTTTATATACAGAAGATCAGTTTAGCATACATTAAGTAAAGATTTCAACAGTTTGCTCCCACACAGAAACATAAAGTGAAAAATACTGTTTGAGTACTAGTTATAGCATTAAATCTCAATGTACAGCACACTAAGGACAAAGATCCTACATGAGGAGTAAGTGCACAGTGACTCCTGTTGTTGACTTAACAAATTGAAACTCTTGTTTATGGCATCAGTAATCAACCTAGGCTCTTGTCATGAGTCGCCAAGGCTATGGAAGCCCCCTGAGTTCACTGACTCTGATAATTTTTAGACAAGGCCATGGTCAAAGTGGAAGTTCTCTCCTCCCTTCAGAGAAAGGTACCTCCTTCTTTGATGACCCATTCTTTCCACTGGTATCTCACTCACGGAGATCTTTCATTTAGGTTTTTTTTTTTTCCCCAGAGTGTCTTGGCTTTCCATGCCTGAAATTCTCTCATGGGCTTTTCAGCGGGATCCGCATTCCTTAAGGGTTGATTCTGAGGCCAGAGTGCTGTTTAGGACATCTGCCATTCTATGGGTCTGCTGTGTATCTCACTTCCCATGTTGGATCATTCTCTCCCTTTTTGATTCTATCAGCTAGTATTTGCAGACACTGTTTTTGTTTATGTGATCCCTTTGGTTCTTAGTCCTATCATTATGTTCAATTGTGAACAGAAATTGATCACTGGGACTAGTGAGATGGCATTGGTACATGCCACCTTGATAGGATTGAATTGGAATCCCCTGGTATGTTTCTAACTCTACCGTTTGAGGTAAGTCAGCTTGAGCATGTCCCGAATTGCACATCTCTTCCCTCTCTTATTCCCACTCTTACATTTAACAGCGATCATTTTTCAGTTAAGTTTCAGCACTTAAGAATAATTGTGTATTGATTACAGTATTCAATCAAAAGTATTAAGTAGAACAAACAAAAAAAATACTAAGAGGGATAACAAGTTGCTCATCAACAGTCAGGGTGAGGGCTGATCAAGTCACCGTTTCTCCTAGTGTTCATTTCACTTTAACAGGTTTCCTTTTTGGTGCTCACTTAGTTGTCACCTATCAAGGAGAACAAGTGGTATTTGTCCCTTTGGGATTGGCTTATTACACTCAGCATAATGTTTTCCAAATTCCTAACAGGGATCACTTTTCAGTTAAAATTTAAATACCTATGAATAATTGTGTGTTAATTACAGAGTTCAACCAATAGTACTAGAACAAAAAATACTAAAATGGATAAAGTATTACATTGTACATCAACCATCAGAACAAGAGCTGATCAAGTCACTGTTTCTCATAGTGTCCATTTCATTTCAACGAGTTTCCCCCTTGGTGCTCAGTTAGTAGTCGCCGATCAGGGAGAACATATGATATTTGTCCCTTTGGGACTGGCTCAATTCACTCAGCATGATGTTTTCCAAATTCCTCCATCTTGTTGCAAATGACTGGGTTTCAATGTTTTTGACTTCTGGATAGTATTCTATAGAGTACATGTCCCATAATTTCTTTATCCAGTCTACTGTTGATGGGCTTTTGGGTTGGTTCCAGGTCTTAGCTATTGTGAATTGAGCTGCAATAAACATTAATGTGCAGACAGCTTGTTTGTTTGCCAATTTCATTTCCTTTGGGAAAATTCCAAGGAGTGGGATGTCTGGGTTGAATGGTAGGGTTATATTCAGGTTTCTGAGGAATCTCCAGACTGACTTCCATAGCGGCTTGACCAGTTTGCATTCCCACCAACAATGGGTTAGTGTCCCTTTTTCCCCACATCCTCTCCAGCATCTGTTGTTGGTAGATTTCTGAATGTGAGCCATTCTAACTGGGGTGAGGTGAAACCTCATTGTGGTTTTGATTTGCATTTCCCTGATTGCTAGTGATCCTGAACATTTTTTCATGTGTCTGTTGGCCATTTGGATTTCCTCTTTTGAAAAATGTCTATTTTAGTTTTTCTTTACTTGAAGTTTTCAGCTCTGGAGATTCTCACAGCAGCTCTATTCCCTGTGAAATGTCCTGGTTCCCTCTCTGAGGTTCTCCAGAGGTGAACCTACATCTGCCTACATTCTGCCTACATTCTGCTAAGACAGAGTGGAGTTTAGTAGTGTCTATGGTAGAGCAACGTGGTTCTGGGTTTTGGGTTAGGAGTCAATATGGCTTCCTTTATTGGAGTAAAACAGTGACTCAGGCCCCATTTAGCTTTCTAGACTAGATTTAAAGTCAGTGAAGACTATGAGAGTCTTGTTTAGTTGGGGCTGCCAATCTACAGTGATGGGAGGGTGTCGGGTATGTGGAACTTTCAGCTTATCTCTTCCTTGCATGACAGAATCCCTTGGATAGCATAAGAGTTGAATAAGCCAGGATAGGAGCAGAGGTGTACTTTGGTCCTCTCTATGCTGGTTCACCATATCTCTTGCTGTTTAGGGTTCATGTCTGTTCTTTACTGGTTTCTTCTCATTCAATCTCTTGGACATGTGGAACTTATTTGGCTATTCTGTTGCATCTCTGTGCTGCAGGCAAATGCAGAGCCTCTCTCCTTAGCCATCTTGTATCTCTCTTACTCTTTGTTTCTGTGTACATTTTTCTTTCACCCTCTGGCCACTATTCTAGGTGCCTTGGCAACCTCCTACCTCAGGGTACATCTTCCCTAGTGAACCTGGGTGGCAGAAGGGGAGTTGTAGTCAGCATACATGTACTAGCCATCCCACCAAAGGTATGATGAGAACAGAGCTAAATAATCTGTTTGTCACCGAAGCAGACTTGTGGGATTCAACTGCATTGGAGGAGAGCAATAATCCCCCAGTCTTCAGACAAGGAAGGCACCTTGGATTCCCAGGTCCTTCAGAGGTAGATTAAGCCACAGTTTTAGATGCCCACATTTCATGTTGGAGTGCCTGGAATCCAGTCCTGCCTCTGCTTTTAATCCAGTTTCCTACATTTGAGAGACAGCAGATGATGGCTCAAGTACTTGGGCTTCTGCTACCTGTGTGGGGCTCCTGCTACCTGTGTGGGAGACCAGAATGGAGTTCCATGTTTCAGGTTTAGTTAATTAATTTAAAAGAGGGAGGGAGTGAGGAAGGGAGAGAGAGAGAGAGAGAGAGAGAGAAAGGAGAAAGTTGGGGGGAGTTAAGTCACAATGTCAGGAGCTCTAAGCTGGGAGGAGTGGGTGTCACTACTCTGCTGCCGTTGATTTCTCACCAATGTTGCAGTGGATTTTTTTCTGAGAGGAGCAGCATGGTGGAGGCAAGAGGCGCGGAGTCACCACACAGACCCCGGGAGTCGGGTGAAAGCAGGCTTGAGGCGAGCAGCCCACAGACTCATTTATTACAGTTAGAACAACATCTTATATAGCCAAGATCAGTCAATCTGGTCAAGGGGTGGTCTATGCCCCAACCAATCACAACCTGTTGCCAGGCAGGCTCTGTTGCCAGGTGGGTTTCAAAGCCATTCCTGAGTAACTGATACTCGCTTGCCAGTGGCCACCTTGGCATGGCCTTATTCCACCACACTACTCCTCTGCTTTTCCACTTGCAGCTGACAAAACTTCATCCCTCTTCTGAATTACTTCCATGCTACAACCTTTCCACCTGACCCCACCTGGTGAGAGCTCTCCCCAGCAGCTATCACTTCCAGTCAGCTCACATATGGCTATGTAGGGTCCAGAAAGTTTAGCAGGCTAATCTAAAGTCTCTTGAAAGATATTCTGGTGCATGGATCTAGGATAGTCCTTTCTCAATGTTCAGAAGTGCCTGAATAAAGACCGCTTCCCATATGGTGTTTTCCAGATGAAATTCTACCCAGCACTTCCCCCTGGAAGGGAGCTTTCCTGGGAGTTCTGGTGGCACTGCCTCTGCTTCTGGCTGTGCTCCTGACACTGGCACTATACTTCTTTCAGAAGCAACGGAAATCCCAAGGTAAGAGGCAAACCAGGAGCACTCCCTTCACATTGACTTTGCTCCTGAGGAAAGAAGTGGAAAAGGCAGAAAGCAGCACTCTGACAGGGAATTTCACCCCAGGGTGGGTTACCAAAGCACCATCCTTAGGGAGCCATGACTGGGTAGGACTTGTGGGGGTGGGGTGGTACATACTCAATCTTCTCCTCTCCCTTTTCCTTTCAGAAAAGTTCAAGAAGCAGGGAAAGAATGAACAAGGTAAATAGAAGAGGACCACTGGCAACTACATCTCTGACAAACAGAAAAAATGGCTCTGGGTCAAAAGTCAAGGACCACAGGCCTGAGAGATTGCAGGAGCAGGCTGCAAAGGGTTGGCCAAGAATTCCGTGTATTCTCTTCTCCTGTCTCACACACAGCCCAGCCTACACTCCCAAATGTGCAGGGCTGGTGTTTGTGAATTTCAGGCACATGAGGCCTGGGTATTCATCAGTCTGCCCTGTCTGACTTATGCCTCTTTTCTCCTTTTCCTTCCCAGGGAAACTAATGGCAGAGCTGGGTAAGTTCTGGAGGCTGTGACTACCATACAGGCCATGGGCCAGCAGAGTAAACCGAGCAGCAAAGAAGGGGTTGGTTCAGTGGTGTTAGGCTTTGTTTGGGAAGAGACAGGTGATAACTGTCTAATTCAAAATCCATCTTTTTGCCCCTTCTTCCTCTCCACTTCCACATAAGCTGAGAAGACTGCCTACTGTGTGTGGTTCAAAGCAGGTCTACCCTTTTACCCTCTGGACAGACCATACCAGCCCCTTGCCTACAAACTACACAATTCAGTTGAAAACCTACCATCAAAGGATGAATTCCTCTAATTCATTTCCTAGAATATCTTTCTCATTTTAATGCAAATGCCTCTGAAAGTGGGGAGGCTCCTTTATCTCACATTGATGTCAGAGTGCAGTGTTATCCTCCCTCAGGATCCCTGGGAAACTGTTTGCAGGACACATGTAGATACCAAATTCTGCTGAAGCTCACATCAGATATGAAGCAGCACAGTCTTTGCATTGAGCCTACAAACATCATCTGTATATTTAAATCATCTTGATATTTCAATACCTCATACAATGTAAATGCTATGTAAATAGTTATATTGTGTTGTTTGGGGAATAATGACAAGAAGAAAGTTTGTGCATGTTCAGTACAGATGCAATTTTTTGTAATATTTTCAGTCTAGTGTTAATTGACTCCATTGATATAGAACTCATAGAAATCTGATGATGCTTTATTTAGCAAGTAATTTTTCTCCCTAGGAGAACTCAGCAATTTGAAATGATGGTTGTGGCAGGGTATATGTACAGTAGAAGGGAGAGAAACCTAAAGGAAGGGGAGATGGAGAAGACCACCATAGTGGGGTGAGGGTAAGGACTCCAGGAAAAGCTGTGAGGTTGGAGAAGTTTTTCTTGCAGTTTATTTTATACTGCAGGGTAGCAGAGAAGAACCCTAATAACACCATAGTCCAAGTTGGTGTACAGTGTTATCTTCCACAGAAGCTTTAATTTTCCCTTTAAATATTTATTTATTTATTTGAAAGACAGAGTTACACACACGCACACACATACACACTCACATGCAGAGAGAGAGAGAAAGAGAGAATCTTCCATCTGATGACTCACTCCCCAAATGGCCACAGCATCCAGAGCTGGGCCAATCCGAAGCCAGGAGCCAGAAGCTTCCTCTGGGTGTCCTATGTGGTTGCAGGGGCCCAAGCACTTGGGCCCTCTTCAACTGTTTCCCCAGGAAGGGAAATTAACAAGGAACTGGATAGGAAGTGCGGTAGCCAGGAATCGAACCAGAGCCCATATAGGATACCTGCACTGCAGGTAGTGGATTTACCTGATACGTCACAGTGCCAACCCCTTTTAACTTTATATGTTAACTATATAATATATATTAACTATATAATATAAATAAATGTATACATTTATATATACTATATGCTATACTATATATAATTTATATATATTATAATTTTATATTTATTATAAAATATAATATATAAATATATATGTTTATATATAAATATATAGTAACTATATATTTTGTATATAGTTATATATTATATATTGTATCTTATAGATTATAATATATTATATATTAATATATAGTTACTATATATATGAATATTATATACACGTTTATTTATTTGAAAGGCAGAGCAACAGAGAGATATTTCTCAGCCACTAGTTCATTCCCCAAATGGCTTAAAAACCAGGGCTAGTCCTGGCTGATGCCAGGAGCCAGGAACTCCATCCTGATCTCCCACATGGATGACAGGGGTCCACTGCCTTTCCAGTGCATTAACAGGTAGCTTGTTTGGAAGCAGTGCAGCCAGGACTTGAACTGGCAAGGAGTATTACTATCAAAAGGTGATGAAAGTGGAGACATCAAAGGAGTGCATTGCAAGTGGCAAAATGTTGTGGTCTTTGACATCTGGCTAGAGGAAATAATTGAGGGTGATGTCCTTCTAGTCCTTTAAGTAATGTATTCACTAAATTATCCTGAGGCTCTCATAGGCTATATTCAGCACAGGAACTTTCCCTTCCCATCATAGTACAGATTTCTGCCTTTGAGTGATAAGGAGGATGAGAACCTTGCTGATGAGCCTCCTTTTTCAGGGCAGTGCAGAGGCAAAGATGAGGTTAGAGTTAGTTGTAGTTTAAGACTGAAGAATCTCTTCTCAGTGACACAAGTGTCATGGGGAGGTGGTTACATTTATGCAAAAGCTGATGTTTTCTCCATGTGTTCTGTTTGCAGAGAAGCTTCAAAAGGAACTTGGTAAGTGACTCCTGTAAGAACTACTTCTTGTTTACCTTTTTGCATCTGCTTATCCATGTATCCTCTTCTCCTAACCAAATATGAAGCCCAGGCTTGATGCCTACTGTCTGTGTGGTGTGCAGGGGAGAGGAAAAAGAGGCACTGGCATGTGCAAAATTCAATACATGAGCAGGAAAGCTGTGGTGTCCTTGTGTTTTAATTTCCTGTTTTCCCTTTCTGCCTCAGATTGGAGAAGGACCGAAGGCCAAGCTGGTGAGTGAAACATGTTTCCCCAAAACACAATGGGATTACATTCTGATACCCATCATAAATTGAAAACATTGTAAAACAAAAATGCATTTAATAATTAACACACAATTATTCTTATGTGTTTAAATTTTAACTGAAAAGTGATTCCTGTTAAATATAACACTGGGAATAAGAGAGGGAGGAGATGTATAATTTGGGACATGCTCAATCAGACTTGCCCCAAATGGTGGCGTAAGAACAGTGCCAGGGGATCCCAATACAATCCCATCAAGGTGGCATGTACCAATACCATCTCACTAGTCCAAGTGATCAATTTCAGTTCACAATTGATCACACTGATCGGTCTAAGAGTCAAAGGGATCACACAAACAAGACTAGTGTCTGATAATATTAACTGATAGAATCAAAAAGGGAGAGAACGATCCATCATGGGAAGCGAGATACACAGCAGACTCATAGAATGGCAGATGTCCTAAATAGCACTCTGGCCTCAGAATCAGCTCTTAAAACATTGGGATCTGGCTGAAGAGCCCATGAGAGTATTTTAGGCATGGAAAGCCAAGACACCCTGGAAAAAAAGAAGACCTAAATGAAAGATCTGTGTGAGTGAGATCCCAGTGGAAAGAACAGGGCCATCAAAGAAGGAGGTACCTTTCTCTGAAGGGAGGAGAGAACTCCCACTTTGACTATGACCCTGTCGGAATAAGATCAAAGCTGGCGAACTCAAAAGGCTTCCATAGCCTTGGAAACTCATGACTAGAGCCTAGGGAGATTACTGATGCCATAAACAAGCGTGTCAATTTGTAAAGTCAACAACAGGAGTCACTGTGTACTTACTTCTCATGTGGGATCTGTCCTTAGTGTGTTGTCCAATGTGAAGTAATGCTATAACTAGTATTGAAACAGTATTTTACACTTTGTGTTTTTATGTGGGTGCAAACTGATGAAATCTTTTCTTAATATATACTGAATTGATCTTCCATATATAAAGATAATTGAAAATGAATCTTGATGTGAGTGGAATGGGAGAGGGAGTGGGAGATGGGAGGGGTGTGAGTGGGAGGGAAATTATGGGGAGAAGCCATTGTAATCCATTAACTGTACTTTGGAAATTTTATATTTACTAAATAAAAAATTTTAAAAAGCCATAAAAATTAATAAGCTTTTAGAATGAATTCCTAAGAAAAAAGAGTAAACTATAAAGAGAATAAATGAAATAGTTGACATTATTAGTGACCTTATAAAAATAACATGTCATACAAGTGTGCAAAAAATGCATTTAATACACTTAACCCAAATATCAGAACTTAACAACTCAATGTACTGTAGAATGGTAGTTATTTCCATTCATGATCATCTGGCTGACTGGGAGCTGCTGTCAGCTGTTGCCCCACCATCTGGAGAGAGGATTGTTCTATCTCTAGCTGGCCCAGTAAATATGAAAAAATCAAAATCTGCAGTATAGTTTCTTTTTCTTAACTTTTATTTAATGAATATAAATTTCCAAAGTACAGCTTATGGATTACAATGGCTTCCCCCCCATATCGTCTCTCCCACCCGCATAACTCCCCTTTCCCACTCCCTCTCCCCTTCCATTCACATGAGGATTCATTTTCGATTCTCTTTATATACAAAGATCAGTTTAGCATACATGAAGTAAAGATTTCAACAGTTTGCTCCCACACAAACATAAAGTGAAAAATAATAGATGATTTTTTAAATGATGATGAAATCAGATCAGACCTATTGTCATGTTTAATCCCAGTGAGAGTCAAGTTGGGAATTGATAATTTCTTCTTTTTTTTTTTACAGAAGATCAGTTTAGCATACATTAAGTAAAGATTTCAACAGTTTGCACCCCCATAGAAACACAAAGCAAAATATACTGTTTGAGTACTCATTATAGCATTAAGTCTCAATGTACAGCACATTAAGGACACAGATCCTACATGAGGAGTAAGTGCACAGTGACTCCTGTTGTTGACTTTACAAATTGACACTCCTGTTTATGGCATCAGTAATCTCCCTATGCACCAGTCATGAGTTTCCAAGGCTATGGAAGCCTTTTGAGTTCACCGACTCTTACCTTGTTTAGACAAGGTCATATTCAAAGTGGAGGTTCTCTCCTCCCTTCAGAGAAAGGTACCTCCTTCTTTGATAACCCATTCTTCCACTGGGATCTCACTCACAGAGATCTTTCATTTAGGGTTTTTGTTTGTTTGTTTGTTTGTTTGTTTGTTTTTGCCAGAGTGTCTTGGCTTTCCATGCCTGAAATATTCTCATGGGCTTTTCAGCCAGATCGGAATACCTCTAGGGCTGATTCTGAGGCCAGAGTGATGTTTAGGACATCCACCATTCTATGAGTCTGCTGAGTATCTCGCTTCCCATGTTGGATCACTCTCCCCTTTATTTATTCTATCAGTTAGTATTACCAGGTACTAGACTTGTTTATGTGTTTCCTTTGACTCTTAGTCCTTTCATTATGATCAATTGTGAGCTGAAATTGATCACTTGGACTGGTGAGATGGCATTAGTACATGCCACCTTGATGGGATTAAATTGGAGTCCCCTGGTATGTTTGTAACTCTACCATTTGGGGCAAGTCAGCCTGAGCATGTCCCAAATTGTACATCTCTTCCCTCTCTTATTCCTACTCTTCTGTTTAACAGGGATCACATTTCAGTTAAATTTCAACACTTAAGAATAACTGTGTATTAATTACAGAATTAAACCAGTCATATTAAGTAGAACAGACAAAAAAAACTACTAAGAGGGATAATGTATTAAGTTGTTCATTAACAGTCAGGGCTATGCTGATCAAGTCACCGTTTCCCATAGTGTCCATTTCACTTCAACAGGTTTCCTTTTTGGTGTTCAGTCAGTTGTCACCGATCAGGGAGAACATATGGTATTTGTCCCTTTGGGACTGGCTTACTTCACTCAGCATGATGTGTTCCAGATTCCTCCATTTTGTTGCAAATGACTGGATTTCGTTGTTTCTTACTGCGGTATAGTATTCTAAAGAGTACATATCCCATAATTTCTTTATCCAGTCTACCGTTGATGGGCACATAGGTTGGTTCCAGGTCTTGGCTATTGTGAATTGAGCTGCAATAAACATTAGGGTGCAGACCGCTTTTTTGTTTGCCAATTTCATTTCCTTTGGGTAAATTCCAAGGAGTGGGATGGCTGAGTCGAACGGTAGGGTTATCTTCAGGTTTCTGAGGAATCTCCAGACTGACTTCCATAGTGGCTAGATCAGTTTGCATTCCCACCAACAGTGGGTTAGTGTCCCTTTTTCCCCACATCCTCTCCAGCATCTGTTCTTGGTAGATTTCTGTATGTGAGCTATTCTAACCGGGGTGAGGTGAAACCTCATCGTGGTTTTGATTTGCATTTCCCTGATTGCTAGTGACCTTGAACATTTTTTCATGTGTCTGTTGGCCATTTGGATTTCCTCTTTTGAAAAATGTCTATTGAGGTCCTTGGCCCATCTCTTAAGTGGGTTGTTGGTTTTGTTTTTGTGGAGTTTCTTGATCTCTTTGTAGATTCTGGTTATTAACCCTTTATCTGTTGCATAGTTTGCAAATATTTTTTCCCATTCTGTCGGTTGTCTCTTCACTCCCCTGACTGTTTCTTTTGCAGTACAGAAACTTCTCAATTTGATGCAATCCCAATAGTTGATTTTGGCTTTGACTGCCTGTGCCTCCCGGGTCTTTTCCAGAAATTCTTTGCCTGTGCCAATATCTTGAAGGGTTTCTCCAATGTTCTCTAGTAACTTGATGGTGTCAGGTCGTAGATTTAGGTCTTTAATCCATGTTGAGTGGATTTTTGTGTAAGGTGAAAGGTAGGGGTCTTGCTTCATGCTTCTGAATGTGGAAATCCAGTTTTCCCAGCACCATTCATTGAATAGACTGTCCTTGCTCCAGGAATTGTTTTTAGATCAAGTTGGCTGTAGATGTTTGGGTTGATTTCTGGTGTTTCAATTCTGTTCCATTGGTCTATCCATCTGTTTCTATACCAGTACCAAGCCCCAACCGGGACTAGAACCCGGTGTGCCAGCGCCGCTAGGTGGAGGATTAGCCTAGTGAGCCGTGGCACCGGCCTAGGTTTTGTAATTTTCATCGTAGAGCTCTTTAACGTCCTTGGTTAAGTTTATTCCAAGGTATTTCATTGTTTTTGTAGCTATTGTGAATGGGAGTGATCTTAGAAGTTCTTCCTCAGCCATGGCATTGTCTGTGTATACAAAGGCTGTTGATTTTTGTGCATTGATTTTATACCCTGCTACTTTGCCAAACTCTTCTGTGAGTTACAATAGTCTCTTAGTAGAGTTCTTTGGGTCCCCTAAATAAAGAATCATATCATCTGCAAAGAGGGATAGTTTGAGTTCTTCCTTCCCAATTTGTATCCCTTTAATTTCTTTTTCTTGCCTAATAGCTCTAGCTAGAACCTCCAGAACTATATTGAATAGCAGTGGTGAGAATGGGCATCCCTGTCTGGTACCAGATCTCAGTGGAAATGCTTGCAACTTTTCCCCATTCAACAGGATGTTGGCTGTGGGTTTTTCATAGATTGCTTTGATTGTATTGAGGAATGTTCCTTCCAAACCCAGTTTGCTTAGAGTTTTCATCATGAACGGGTGTTGTATTTTATCAAATGCTTTCTCGGCATCTATTGAGATAATCATATGGTTTTTCTTCTGCAGTCTGTTAATGTGGTGTATCACATTGATTGTCTTGCGCACATTAAACCATCCCTGCATACCAGGATAAATCCCACTTGGTCTGGGTGGATGATCTTTCTGATGTGTTGTTGCATTCTATTGGCCAGAATTTTATTGAGGATTTTTGCATCTATGTTCATCAGGGATATTGGTCTGTAATTCTCTTTCATTGCTGCATCTTTTTCCGGCTTAGTAATTAAGGTGATGCTGGCTTCATAGAAAGAATTTGGGAGGATTCCATATTTTTCGATTGTTCTGAATAGTTTGAGAAGAATTGGCA